CTGTCTGTCTGTCTGTCTGTCTGTCTGTCTGTCTGTCTGTCTGTCTGTCTGTCTGACTTTTAAGATGCAATAGTAAATGAGCATTATTGTGTTAATGGGCTTCTCTCTACTCAAAGCAACAAACAAAGACTTTTCGTGGGTGGTTGGCGAGTGCTCTGGTGTGTGGTTTGCTCCTTCTTTCCTATCAAACATCTATCGTCCTGATCTCTCCTCCTTCTCTTTTGTGTTTGCTACTCTCTTGTAACACCTCTAGTCTTAGGCACTTATATGACCTTATTGTGTTCCAAGTGCCGTAAAATTCTTACTCAAACAAACAAACAAACAAACAAAGCTGCCCCCCACCCCTGCTCTTCTTGACCTTTGCTTTGTTTAGGCAAATCTAACCCCAGCTTCAAACACTATAATATGCTTCTGTTTCCCTATTTCTTGTATTAAATCAATAAATAGACAAACGAATAAAGGTTAATGGTTAATCGATGTATACAAACAATTAACAAGGAAACGAAATAAACCAAAGTGGAAAAGTGAATGATTAAATAAACTGTCTAGTCAATAAATAACTAAATAAATGAATAAATAAATAAATAAGTTATTAAAAAATCCCAGTAATCATGGCAGTTAGTACAAAACTTTGTCACAACAGCAGCAGCAGCAGCAGCAGTAACAACAACAACAACAATATCAATATCAGAAGCAGCAACAACAACAAACACAGAATCATCATCATCTCCAACAACAACAACTACAACAACAACAACAACTACTACAACAACAACAACAACAACAACAACAACAATAACAATAACATCATCATCAGCAGCAGCAGCAACAGCAAACAGTAACAACAACCACAGCAATATCATCATTATCAGCAGCAACAACAAACAGCAACAACAACAATAACAACATCAACAACAACTGCAACAGTAACAACGATGAAACATCAGCAGAAGCAGCAACAACAATAACAACAGCAGCAACAAAAGCAACGACAGAAACAACAATAGTAACAACAAAATAACAATACACCAGCATCATCAGCAACAAACAACAACAACAACAACAAAGTAACAACGATGAAACAACATCAGCAGCAACAACAACTAAAACGATTGCTTTCTGGGGCAGTGTATCCTTCTTAGCCTGAGTTGGCTCTGACCTTTAATTACCTCCTAATTTTGTCGATAGGAACATACAATTTCTGCAATTACAATTTCTTTTCTCTCAATCC